TTTACACTACGGAGATAGGTTATATGAAAAAGTAAGTTGGACATATAACGAAAAAATCATTTAAAAAAATAGGTAGATAAAATAAGGATTAATTGAGAGTGAAAATGTGATTAAATGATAGTAACAAATTCATTATTATATATTAAAAATAATAATAATAAATTGTAAATAAATAAATTATTACTGTAAAACTTTATCGGTAAAGAAGAGGAAAATATATATTATAACCGGTTGGACATTATTTCAATCCTATTTAATTAAGTAACCACTAAGTATATTTAAAAATAAAAAATAAAATAAAATAGATCAAAAAAAAATATTGAATCTGAAAATTCATATTGAAAAAAAAAAACTAAAATTTATTGTACTATTTAACTTAATAAAATCTCAAAAAATATACTTACTCCGTCCCTTAACAATTCATCCATTTTTCTATTTTAGTTCGTCTCGTAAAAATGATCCATTTTTCTTTTTAATAATTGTACCATTTACCTAACATTACAAATACCCTTCCAATTTACAATATATTACACAAATGCTATTACATTTATATCATACAATATTAATAGAAGTAATTTAGCCTTTTTACTTTTATTTCTATTTTATTTTAATATAATATTAATATTTTTAAAACTCCGTGAAAAAAAAAGAAATAAACATATAAAAAGATGTTTTAAAATTGGTTTGAATTTCCTCACCATATATATTAAAAGGAAAATGAATATGTATTTATGGAAGCTTTCAATTATCCCACTCATTGTTTGTATAATTATGGATTAGTACCAAATTAATTATAAAATAATAATTATGCAGGTCAAGATTTCAATGTCTTAAATTGGTAGGTAGTAATAATAACACCAAAATTTTAATTCCAAAAAAAGTAAATAAAAAAACTTAAAAAAAGAAATTAAATTATTAGTATTACAATAAATTCATATATATCCCAACTTTTAAAAATATTTAATTTCTACCCTAAAAATCCCAACTGTCTTCATTGGGATGGCCTTACCTTACGGACGTTACAACATATTGCAGTAATAATAATATTTATTACACTTTCCTCACACAAAATAAATAAATAAATAAAAATAGTGATTTTTTTTTAGTAAATAAGGAAATATGAATATTTTTAAGTGATACATAAAAAAATAATTAAAAAAAAAAGAAGAAAAATGAATATAAATTTGAATTAGAAATACAAAATATTAATAATAGACACACATATATGTATGTGCATATATATATATATATATGTATATGTGTGTATTGTGTATTCTAGAGTGAGAAAAATGAGTGATTGTGAAAAAGGTTGTGGTCATGTTTCACTTCCAAAAGAGGTTATAGAGAGGTTGGAGAATATGAGCAAATGGGAGTGGGATGAGATTATTTCTAATAATAATAATAATAATAATAATAATAATCATCGAGTTGTCGACAACGATGAAGTTGTGTGTCCGAATCCGGGAGTCGATGAGGAAGTGATGTGGTGGGTCGGCGAAGGTGTTCTTGAACTTCCTTTAGTGTTGTTTAGCCCTTGTGAGATCGAAGACGATGTAATAATCTTTGGTCGAACTGATTGATGTACAAACGCATCAATAGTTAATTAAATAGATCAAAAGGTTTTTTTTTTTTTTTTTTTCTTTTTCTGTCTTTTTTTTTAATCTCTCGATGTATTTATGAATATGGATGAAATCGATTAATGAAGATTATTTGAGATTTCAATCTTATTATATATATATATATATCTAATAATTCGAGATTTGTTGATGGCAAGCTATTAGTGTTGGAATTGTTTCATGTTTGGCGTATTCGGATAAATAAGATGAATTGTGTTTTAGACATATTTTTCGAGAAAAAACAAAGTGTAGTAACTCTATATTATTGAGCTACTCGAAACAAGCTATGAAATAATTTACTTGCTCCTCTTTGATTTTGTTACAAAAATTAAGAGTAAAATTCAAAATTAATGCTTGTAGGGTTGAAATATGTTACAAAATTTTTCTAGAATGTTCTTTGATTTTGTACATGACCGAAACTAAATAGGGCAAAAATAAAGGATAAATTACTTAAAACAATTTGTTTTATTCAAAATTCAAAATTTTGCAACCAAAAAATTTGAATTTCAAATATAAATCACATTTGTTCCATCTGTTCAATTTGGACATTTAGGTCAGTAAATAATGACCTGGTGGTGTAACAATTGCGGATTCTCATGTTGTAAAAAAATATAAAAATAATAAATAAATCAAACTCATAACTTCAATTAACACTACACATATTTAGGGAGTGTTTGGCAAATAGCTTTTAGCTTATTGAATAGCTTTTTAGCTGTTTGATCAGTCAAAAATCTAATTTAGGTATTTGGTAAATTAGCTTTTTGGAATAGCTTTTTGGACCAAAAAAATTAATTTCTGAAAAGCTAACTTACCCGGCGTTTTGAAATAGTTTTTTCTGTAAATTTTTTTTATTCATTATATGCCCTTAAAAATTTATTATAAATTTTAAACAAATAAATATATTTTGATTATTTATTAATTATATTAGAATATTTTATTATATTATAGTTTTACTTTTATAAATTTAAAATAATCAATTTTTATATAAAAATTATTTTAATTGTAAAATATATAAATTTATTAAACTCAACATAAAATAAAAAATATAAATATTAATAATTTATTTTTTTTATTAAAATTACATTATATAAATTTTATACTAAAAATAAATTAAATTTATTGAAAATTATAAATATAATGAACTAATCGATAACTGACATAATAAATATATACACGAAAAATTTATTATTTTATATTTTACATCATTTTCAATAAAAAAACTATATATATATTTTAATAAAAATATATTATTTTTTAAATCTAACTGTAATAAAAATAAATATTTTTATAACACTTTTACAATTTTCAATAACTAATAACAAAAAATTTTAAACATTCTAAACTCAAAAAAACATAATTGAATATATTAGAAACAAGAATAAAATAGAAATGTCCTCAATTTTCATTTTACGTATAAACAACTAATATCAAACAGTTGTTTTACCAAACATTTTAATACAAACAGCTAATCGAATCAACTAGTCAAACCAGCTAATTGAATCAGCTAACAGCTAACCGCTATCAGCTAATTGCCAAACACGTCCTTGGTTAATTGAAACTATTTACAAACCCACATGGTGTGTTTGTTTGGGGGATTGAATTTTAATTACACTGTTCATCCCATTTTTTTCTTCAAAAATATCAAATCAAACACATATTTTTCATTTTTTATATTATACTTAAAAATCAAATTTGCATTCAAAACATCACATCAACACATATTTATATCACATCATACAACTATTCAAATTCAAAATTTTTACTATTCAAATCCAACTCAAAATCCAAACCCCCAAACAAACTCACCTAGGGATTGGATTTAATTTCCACTGTTCATTCCATTTTTTCCCTCCAAAAACATCAAATTAAACACTATTTTTCATTTTTTATATTATACTAAAAATCAATTTTTAATTCAAAACATCACATCAACACCTATTTATATCACATCATACAACTATTCAAATTCAAAATTTTTACTATTCAAATCTCAATTCAAAATCCAAACTCCCAAACAAAAACACCCTATAGTATTTTGATAATTAAAACTATTTACAGACCATTCACATTTTACAATATGTTTTATTCTTCTGTCTTTGAACTCAATGTATACTTTTTATTATTTTCATCTCTCATATTCAAAATTATTTGTTTTTAATTATAATAAAAGCATTCATATATAAATACCAAAATATTTTTATCTTTTATAAAAACTATTAATTCCTATGAACTTTCAAAGACAAAAATTATCAAAATAAATACACTTTCACCCACCAATAAAAACTATATTTATTTTTTTAATCTACTAAAAAAAAAAAGCAAAGAGTATACTGAATTGGGACGGAAAAAATATAAATATCTCATATGTTGAAATCAATGTTAATTATATTATGCGATGTTATATTTGTATTATAGTAAGTAGTAACATAAAATATATATTGTGGATTAATATTCTATATATTGCAGAGCAAAATATATTTTTTTGTCTCAATATTATAATTATCAATTTTGATTTCATTATTTTTTATTTTATTTTATCAATTTTGATCTCACTTAAATATATGGTCGACAGTCTGAAGCGCGCACTTCTTAGTCATCTTCAAACCAATATAGTCGTGTTCATGATATATATATTTTTAATGTGTGTATATTTGTATTTTCTTAAATAATATTTACGAAGAGTTGTTCAAAAATATTGGGTGAACATATTGATTATTAATAAATTTTTAAAAATATATATAATTATGATTATTAAAAATAGATATTAATATATTATTGTGTTTGTAATTTTGTTTACAATTATTTTTTAAAATATTAAAAATTGATCATTTTTTATATTATAAAATAATTGTAAAAATATTTTTTGTTGAATTATAAATATATATCAAATAATTTTAATAAAAAAGTAAAATAATGTTGTGAACATGGTTTAAAATACTGCTATGTTGAAAAATGAGAACATGAGTAGAAACATATTTGTGTTAAAAACACGGACATAAACACGGGTAAAGTAAGGCCTTATTTAGAACATGATTGTTAACAAAGATATGAACACGGCCACATTCAGTGCAGAATAATCAACGCGGCCATGTTGCTATCTCGGGCGCCCAATAGTCATCCGACGCGTAAGGGTTTAAGCCAACACGACCATTCAGTCTCGATCAATTATCATGAGATTAAAATTAATAAATTTTCATTTAAGTTGAACCAAAATTAATTGAAAAAAAATTCTGTGAGAGCAAAATTGATAATTATGATAGTGAATGAGACAATAATTTTTGATCATATATTGCACGTATATATATCTGATGTCATGTCGAGATTTTATCCCTTTGACCCGTCGAAAAGAAATTGTTTATGAACTACATAAATAGGAAAACAAAATCACTCAAAATATCCAAAGAACCTTTAAGTCATGTTAAATATTTGATTCCATGGTTCATTTCAGGTTTCCCAATGGTAAGAAAATTCACACATATATCCAAAGTGGCTGCAATTCAACATCTCAAGTTGTGAGATACGAGCAACGCCCCGCCCCACCCCGATGAATTAATCATATGTTTAAACTTGAATCCGTCCTAAAAAGATGACAATATTTCGACATAGCAGTACCTGTATTGTAGATTAATACACAGCTGCCATGTGTGGAGCACAGAAATCATACAAGCCTGTCAAAGTTCATCCTGCAAAACACAAACAAACAAGGGACAAAAATTAGTCCCCCTCAACCCGAACAGATATATCTAAGGTTTATTTTTTTACTATTCAACTCGCACGATTCTCAATAAAAATAAATAATTTTCTCACGTAATATCACATCAAAATATTACTTAAACTAAAATTTAAATAAAAAACTCGAACTTGAACACAACCAAACATGGTAGGCAGGATTTACACATGATTTAGCTCTAAGTAAAGCAAAACCCGTCAAAACTCATGTATGCTCTCTCTATTAGCCTTCACATACAAATGAAGCTTAAAAATTTCGGTTCTTTGCGCAATATGGTTTATGTTTTTTAGAGTTTTAGGGTGTGTTTCTTTAAGGCAAAACTCAGATTTCGAAAAAAATACACCTTTTTTTTTTTGAAAAAGCATTTCCTCGTATATTATTTTAATAGCAAACCTAAACTAAAAATTTCCAAACCCCAAACTCCTGTTCGAAGACATTGAAATGGGAAATTGAGACACTTACATGATAGTCGTCATCCATGTAGTCATGGCGCTGCAAAACAAATTTTCGAAATTAAGCCGACTGCAAGAGAAGTCTAAAGTAACAAGAAAACCATATAGGACTACTGACAAGAGAAGATAAAATGTAATGAAACTCAAGATTTTGGTAGAAGAAAAAGAACCATAGACAAGACAACAGAAGCAAGACAAGCTAGAAAATCGAAACTTTGGTCAATCGAGCTAATTAACTGGACTGCACAACAGAAGTCTACTAACCCTCCTGTATCTGTCCTTGTGTCGTTCCCGGTCCCGATACCTCCTGTCATGACCCCTTTCTTTTCTCCTCCTTTCACCTTCTTCTCTTGCTCTCTGGGACTCCTGCATAGACAATCAATAATCTATTATGGATTTATCGTTCGATGCAAATGAACTAAGACTACTACATTAAGTAAGACTGGAACCTCTTCTTCCTTTGCTTTTCTCACTTTCTCAGCTTCCTCGAAGGCTTCTTTTTCGATCTAGAGTCCAACAAGAATATTAACCAAAGTGGCAAGAAGTTCGAAGAGTGCGGTGGGGACTAGATTGGAGTGTAGACCTACCTCCCGGTTAGATAATACTTCCTCCACTACTTTCTTTGCATAGTCAGGATCATCACATATTAGAATGTTGTCGAAAACGGAACCTGCTTTTACCTGAAACCATACCAAGATAGAGTTCAGTCAAACTGTAAGACATATCATAATTATACAATTTATGATAATAATCTAGCTAGTGCATTTTCCCTGTAAAGAAATCATTCTCACCTGCCAAACTTCGATGCCAACATACTTAATGGGCTTCAGAACATAAAGATCAGGATCATCTTCAAACTCTGACCAAGAGAACGATCGAATTAGGCAAATAGATGTAAAGCCAATAATATCGTTGAATTGGTCTAAGATACAATGCTTTTATGCAAGTCAATGTCAAATGTGCCTTACCAGGATTATCGATCCAAGGAATCTTCCACTTCCCTTTATAGTTAGGGTTCTTTATTCTCTAGAAGACCAAAGGAAATACACTTTAATCTGATAGTCAATCAACTGAGACTACTTGTTTGGTGTTAAAAAAAATATACCTTTGGCTTCCATGGTCCTTTGTATGCTGGATTTGGGATTTTGGGAGCTTTCCATATTCCATCTTCATCTTCATCCCAGTCATAAGGCTACATAGAGAGAAAATATAAATTATTGTAATTCTTCGATTATTGATTTTACTAATGATTCACAAACAGCAACTTGACACACCAAATAATAAAATGCCAAGCAAAAGGTCAAAAGCATAAAAAATTTTAGCCGTCTCATTCAAGTTAAAGGATAATGCTTTGAAGATGTGCAGCCAAACGACATGAGAAGTAGGCGAAAATGAAGTCTTGACCCTTAGGTGATCGACTAACCTCCTTTGCATTTGGATCGGGTATTTCTCTTGGAATAGAATCATATCCCTGTAATGCATGCACAATACAGAAAATGAATAGAAGTGTATATTTATGTGTGTGAACAACAGAAATCAATAAGCTGTTGAAACCAGTAAGATTGTGAAGTTTAATACCTCAGGTTTCACATTATTTGGATCATCTATGTATTCTCTATCATCCCAATCCGCAGGCTGTCAATAGTTTTCAATAAGCAAAAGTACTATGGAAAATTGAAGTCCAAAATAAAATGATCATTCCATGACAGTATAGCTAACACTAGAGAAGAAAGTGGCCAGGAAAATCACATATCTTTCAAAATTTCTTTAAGAATAAGAAAAAAATAAAAAAATGAATAGTAGTATGGAAACATTACAAGATTTAGCCAAGAGTGGAAAACTTCATTTAGCTAAGACAACCTTTTTTGCATTCACGGCCTTTATTTTGCGAGGAGGTAGAATATCCCAGTCAGTATACATACTTCCTGACTCCCTTTCTCGGCCATCAATCAGGAGACTGTACGATGCATCAGGCCGAAGAATGAATGTGTAGAAATGAGTTAACTTGTCAGTTTCACATTGGAGATCCTTTTTGATGGGATAATTTTGACCTTGATATGAAAGTATGACATGGATTTTCTTCGTCTGTGTGCCACATAAATCTGGTCCAAACATCATACTGACAACACATAAAGGTTCACAAGATTAGAGACCTCATAAAATATTAAAGCATGGTTTTATTTTACAAACTCGTTACTGATGTGAAATTCAGAACTAAAGTGCATATAGCAAAATAGGAAAATAATACATACTGATGTGAAATTCAGAACTAAAGTGCATATAGCAAAATAGGAAAATAATACATGTGCCGATAAAAATCTGGCAGTCACCACACTGTAGCAACACTTATAGATAATTAAGAGATTTCAGACACTTTTGAAGATAGAGAATATTCAATAATGCCAATAACATACAACTATAATCGAAACCTAATGGCAAATGAAAGGGTGCATAGTTATATGCTGTCCCTATTTCATATTGCATGGTCTCCAAATAGAACATGTATGGTCATTTACAAAAATGAAAATGTCATTTTTTTTCATACAAAAATATTTTTAAGATGGAAAAATTGGACAAAGATTGTGGCAAACATTTGTTTGCACAAATATTATCATTTTTTTGGACAGATTTGGGTCCTATGGCTTTCAAATCCATGGTTCAAATAAATTATGCTTGTTTGTGTTTTCAAAGGTTTTGAAATTTGTTGATTTTAGAATGATTTGAAGTTAAATTACTTAGTAGTTGACACCTAGTCTCAAACCTTGTTTATAAATAAATACACTCATTATCCTAGTTATATTAATATTAAACTAGACTTATATTGATTTTAACAAAAGTTTATTTTAGTGCTATCTGAAACGTCTTTCATGTTATATGTAAATGGGAAATTATATTTTAATTACCCAATCTACTAATATAAATTATATTTTAATTATCCAATTTACTAACATAATTATATTTTATAATTAACTACCATACATCATTGTATTAATGACAATATTTATTTTAATCCAATTTTTTTCAAATGCCACCTCCAAATCAAATGAAAACTGGAACAAAGGATTTAAATTTCAACTATTTCAAATATGAAGTAATAAAATTTCATATACATCTTTCATATCCAAAACTATCCAAACAAATGGAGCCTTAAAATTTTCAAAATAATTTTATCTATCTATTATAATTTTTTAAAATTTATGGAATCAAAACAAATCCATTGCTACGCCCTTTTACATCGGTTTTTAGCTGAACTTGTCACCAGCTGTGTAACGAAGAACAGAAATATTTAAAAACCCAAACATTTGGGTGTATTCTTTTATCAAATTTTCCCATATTTATGCTACCTTAAAAAAAATATCAAATCAAACATCTGATCTTCATTTTTTATATTATACTAAAAATCAATTTTATACTCAACACATCACATCAACACCTATTTATAACACATCATACAACTATTCCATTTCAAATTTTTTACTATTCAAATTCCAACCAAAATTCCAAACCCCCAAACAAAAACACCTAAAAATTATCCGAATGATTTTTTTTCCAAGGATACATTATGTCTATACAATCAAACCATAATGCAGCAGAAAGAATAAAATTACCTGTAAGGCGTGTCACCACCAAATTTCTTTTGATTAACAAAACCCGAAAGAAGCTTTATGTAACCCCCACCACATTCTATGTCTTGCTCAAATCTAATGGAATACTGAACAACCAGGGTCCTATTCTTGTTACTGAATTCCGGTATCTTGGCAGATATGGCAGAATGCCTAGCATCAATGGCCGTCTGAATACCTGAAAGATGTATAAAAAATGTTACTACACATGTTCAAACGATTTTTACATCTTCCCTCAAATGTTCCCTGAGCTGATACAATAGGGCAAAAGATAATTTCCCACAATGAACCAATTTTCATTCTAAACAAATTTAAACTATTGAAAACTGACTCAAAAATCAAAATATATAGCTGAAAAGGAACTCTTTGGATAAATCATGTTTAAGCAAAAATATTATTTTAGATAAATCATGTCTAATATATTTTCTCTAGATTAGCTTTTTATTATTTTAGATTAAGTAATTACTATATGAGTCTCTCCAATCCGAATCACATCTATAAATAGTCCCTCTTGATTTCGTTATTAATAATATGTAACTCTACTGCAACTTCTGTGAGTTTTTTCTCTGATTCTAACATCATTGAAAGCCCTTCCAATTCTAAAGGTGTTTCTTTATGAGCTTGTTTCCGATCCTAATAGCATTGAAAGGCCTCCCTATTACGATTCAAACTAACTCCGTTGAGAGAACTCTATTTCTGACTTTGACTCAATAATTCGATCGACACTTCAAGTTGTTTGCTAAGATATCACTTGAGTTTAAAGAAAATAATTGAGATATCTCCATATTTAATATATTTTGTTATGCTGTTCAGATTAGGTTTATTTCAAATTGAGTTGCAATTATATGTCCTTGGTTCAATTATTAATAATATGCAAACCTAATATTTGTTTGTTTTTATGTCAAAAACAAATAACAACACAGTTCACCTTCACCATAAAAATACACAGTTTTTTCTAACAAAACACCTAATCGAAAAACTATTTAAACCAAAAATCAAATAAAAAAACTTTATTTCAAATCAAAACCAAACAAACCCAAATTTTTACAAAGTAACAAGTCGATTATAAGTAAAGCATGAACTCAAGAAGTCACACCTTTATCATCAGGATCCCCATTCCACTTTCCTGCAGTGTGCTTAAATGATCCAGCTTTCCCTTCGCTCCGTTTCCAATCAGACTTCACCCACCTGCTCTGCCATCCATCTTAATTTCGGCACAGCAAAATCGAAAACAGTTAGGCCATAATAAATACACAAAGTTATCAACAAAATTTCAGCTCATAAATTTGCCAAAACAATTTCATTTCTTCCCAACTACATACTCCTGCTAGAAATTAACCTACAATTAAGGAAAACGCAGCTATGCTGGTTCCAGCTCAAATCAAATAATCAATCAATTAAAAATTGCTCAGCTTCAACAATTGAGAACCAAAATCAGTAGACTAAACTCGTACTTCTGCAACTGTAATTTGAACTTGAAATCCACTAAACAGTCATAAGGATAAAGCGGAAATTGAAAGAACGTACCGTCAAACCGCTCCTCGAAGATGATCTCAGCAAATGAAGAGCAGAATAGGGAGAATATTACCACCGTTGCACAAGCAGAAGTAACAACCAGTTTGTGCTCATCTTTCGCCATTTCTGAACTGAGCTGAGAAGCAGCCGCAGTGACGGTTCTGTTGTGCAAGATCTCAAAAAAATAGGATATTTGTTGTTTAGATCTTTGACCCTTGATTAGGATTTTATTACGGTATTGCCATTTTGGGAATTGTTTGTTGACTTTGACTTCCAGTTTTAACCCCTTTTCTGGCTCCTTCTCGAACATTCTGTCTTTTTTCTTGCAACCTTTTGTCATTATTATTGCTTTACAAAAAAATACACGATTTTAATAAATTTATTTAATAATTACTTAGTAATTTTCACTTTATTAAAGAATCAGGACATGTTTTGTGCGTTTCCTTTTTTTATTTTAATAGTATAAATATACAAATTAGATAATACATAAGTAACCTTGGATAATAATATAACATGATACACTACTGAACGCAATATATATATATATATTATATAACACAAACAGTTTTTTCATCAATTTTAAATTTATTTGATAAAATTTAATATTGTTGGAAGCCAAGCCCAAGTCTCCACATAGAAAGTTGCGCCATGAAAATTACACATCTTATAAGTCGTGAACTCCACTAATATAAGACATTTTGAAGGATATTCAAAAACAAATTTGTGCGGCCCAAAGTGGACAATATTATATTAGTTTTGAGTTGGCACAATTCTGTTACGGGGTCCCTTTGTGATAAGCGGTACACGATGGGCTGGAAGTCTCACATTAGAAGTTGTGAAGAAAATTACACACATGTTCCAAGTGAACTCCACTAGTATAAGGCCTTTTGGAGCATATTCAAAAACAAATTCTTGCGAACTCAGTCTAAAGCTGACAATATCATATTGAGTTGGCCAATCCCAACAAATATTCGATACACTACAAAAATATATTTGTAACAGAATTCCGTCTCTAAAGTTCACGTAGCTAACGTAATTTCATTCCTAATTCCGTCTCTAATGTCATTAGTAACGAAAAAAGTAGATTTAGAAACAAAAAAGTTTTGTTACAAAAATAATTTTTTGTTGTAATAGTGATAAGACAAATAACATATTAATTTATTTGGTAAATTTGTTTTAAAAAGTTTGTTGGAAGTTAAAATCTTGAGTGTGTTTGGTTTTAGATATATATATATTTTATAGTATTACTTATGAAAAAAATAAAATAAAATTGCATATATACCCTCTCCATCCATCCGTTACAAACATCTATTTGTAATATTTGTAAAATAGAAAATAATTAAATATATTTTAATCTTCATTTCGCATTTTTATTCTCGCTATCACTTAAATAAATATAGAATCTTCTCTCTCATCATGATATGTAATTCTCAAATTATCCTATTTAATACTATCAAAAAAAAAATATTGCACCATATTAGAAACAGATAAAATATATTTCATTATTTTACAAAAAATAACATTTAATATAAAATACTATTTTTTATATTATCCGTCCGAGTTTTTTATGTTTCATGTCAAAAAAATATCTTAAAAATCAAAACAAACAAACCCTGCTGAATTTTATTAGATAGAATAGATATTATATTTAGAGCAAACAAAAATAGACACGGTTTAAAAATCGGATTTAAACTTATATTTGGGCCTAAAAAGTAAATTCAAAAACATTTGAGCCATGCCTGGCCCATCAATGTCGGACCATGCCTAACTTGGCCCAATTCTAAATAAACTATAATTTTATAAATATATTGAAAAATAAATTTATGTCAAAAATAAAAATTAAGTCTAGTAAATTAGTTATCTTATTAATGTAAAATCACTTTTTGGGCCAGACCGTACTTAGGCCTGAGTTTTCAGGCCCAAATCAAAATTGGGTCGTGCCTACCCAACCCAAAAATGGTATCGAGGTCGCCCGATTCGCCACCTTTACTTATAAATGAAATTTTGCTCATACTATATTTAGTAAAATAATGCAAACTTCTTTTCATCCATTATTTGTCTATCTATTTATATGATTGTGTCACCACTTATTTTATTTTAATTCGAAAATTACTATAAAAATTCCATTTCCACCCTAATAAAAAATACAAAAGCTATTATTTTTCCTAATTATATTAGACACACGGAGTATTAAGCAAACAGAAAACCTCAAGAGCTTTTGAACCTGGGAATGGCATTAACAATGAAATTACCTGGGATTTGACACCGATAACTAGGGTGTACGCGATTCGGTTATTTGTAAATATATAAGTATTTTTAATACTCAAATCGAACCGAACAAATACCTGAAATCGCAAATCGTATATTTGCAAATAACTCGAACCGAACCAAAATGAAGAAAAAATATATTAAAAAATAATTAAATTCTAATTAAAAAATATATTTGCAAATATTTTAAATATTCGACATGAATGTAAATTTTAAAATATAATAGTATAAATATATATGGTTAAGTTAACCGAACCGAAAAAAATATCAAAAACCAAAATCGAACCAAACAAATATCAAATATGCAGTATTTGTATTCGAACCAAATTTGCTCGGTTAACCGAAAATTCGATTTGATTCAGTTCGGTTCGAATTGTTTGGCCAATGCTACCGATAATAAAATTGAATCAAATACCAACACAGATACCTTTCCTCAAAAATGTGTATGAATCAAGCCTTGTTGATCATATAACAATGTCGGGTCGTCATCGGGCAAGTTACGTATCATATAACACTCAATCAACCCGAACACAACAAATGTTGGTCCCGAATTAGTTCATCTTGAGTGTCGTTTTTTTATTGATCATCAGAGCCACAGAAAAATGTGGAGGCATGTCAGGTAAGATTAACGAGGTAAAGAAATCGCAGAAATTAAGCATTGATAGGGCTACTTAGCTTGAGGATGAGATGCAATGAAGTCGACAGCAAGGTGGATTGAGTGTATTTTGTCGGCTTCATTATCAGGAATCTCGAAGCTAAACTCTTCTTCAAGGGCCATCACGATTTCCACGGTGTCTAAGCTGTCGAGTCCAAGATCATTCTGGAAATGAGCATTTGGAGTGACCTGTATTGTTCGGATACCGTACATGTAAAAAAACAATTAGACAAAAAGCATCGAAGCAATGCACGAAAGTGATATATTAAGATGCTTGTTGGTGGATAATTATATACTATCTATAGGTTAGGAGTCATAAAGTGATCTCCCTTGTTATCAGAAATTTTATCTATCCAAAGTAAATATGCGATTACCATGGATTTACTACCAAACCCCTCGAAATCGAAGCTATTAACAGAATCAAGGAAAGAAGAAATTAGTTAAGAATCATATTTATAAGGATTATGGAATTGCTGCTGATGCCGCCGGATCCCAATTCTGTATCTTAGAAGAAAGGCGAAGAAGTATGCACTAGGACCGGCAAACGAATGCACAAACTATTTATTCATATCATAAAACCGAGATTCAAGAGTCGAATTAACAAACACTTCGTAATAGTACACAACACAATCCTTTGTTTAATTCTAATTTCGTAGAATTTTCATTTAAATTTTTATTTTTATAAAATTGGCCATGAATGTTTGAGTTGGATTGGTAAATTTGAAAAAATATATTTAAATTTAAAATAATATTAATTAAACCGGTTAGATGGACTATTTTCAGGTTGAAAAATTGGACCCGATTATTAATTGGGTCAAAAATCTCAATCCAAATCCAACTATTTTGGATCAAGTTCAGGTCGGATTAAATTTTGTCAGCCCTAGATGCCAGAAAATCGTTTAGAATGTAATTCAAAAAAATTCTTATATTGTGCAGATGATTGGACAAAAAGACAATTGTCAAGTCAGTACGTAATAAAGTAAGTTCATTGGTAGTTTCAAGTTTAACTGTCGGCTCAAATTTATTTTGCGAAAACGGGTGGAAAATGTCAAATGCATGCACACTAATGGAGTGAACTTTGCATGTAATAAAGGTTAATTTCTCTTGAAGATCATAACAAATAACTTGGTTTATGGTAATATCAACACAAGTAATTATTAAAGCAGTAAAAGATGAGTTTTACAATCTAATACAGACAGATGAAAAGGTGAGTGAGATATGAATGGAATTTCAAAAAGTTCAGATTCGATAGAAGCAACAGAGGTTGTAAAAGATGGCTACATACAGAAGAAAGAGATTCAAGAATCAATACCATATGTTGTAATAAAATAGTGTAAAAGGGCAATGATGAACTTGAATTAATACCCAAAAGTTATGCTAATATAACTAAACGCAAAATGATTCAGTCGAAAGAAAATGATCGATAATCATCAAAAATAAAAGAACCCGTGTAATATCAGCAAACAATATTGTCACAACTCCATTTTAAATCGAGAAGCATGTATGGCAGAGGTATTATTGCCGGCAACATCATATCCAACTAGCTAACAACAAAAATCACCTAATTTTGAGGCATTGTTTACATAATACCACTTCAGAAACTTATAAAAACTATTTCTAAACAAATTATCAAAACAGTAAATTCACAAATCTGACCGACACAAACAGTCTATGCCACATCAGTCCCACAAATTCCTTGTAACCAGTGGGTTGAGTTAATAGAAGCAAGATAAACTAATCAGTTCTCCAAAAAGAACAAAATCTTCGGTTTTCTTGGAAATAACTTCTTAATTTGCAATCAAATCAATCCTCAAAGATTAACAATTATTTGAGAACATTTTGTAAACATATCTCATGTATTCTGCCATAGCTGCTAAAAGAGGATTTAAGCAAATGAGCATCTTCTGGGTTGCATGCTAGAATAGATAAATCATCATCTTTGCTCGGAAGAACAATCGGGTCAACACAATTAGCATAAGACTTCCAATTAGGATAATTTTCTCTCATAATACGAATTCTAGGGCTAGTAATCTCAGACAGCCCAATTTTTTGCTGAATTATTGCTTTCTAGGCGATAACATAAAATTTATACTATTTCAACTTTGTATGCTGGAAATACTTGTAACGGCACCAAGTCTGTAAACATGCAATTACCTAGAAAAATCTATCACTATGATGGGATGTAATTACTGAAACAAACTTCTATTTCAAACACCAAAAACATCAAACGTCGATTTCACAGAATCACAATTCTCTAACTACAACTACGCTTTCTACGACATAAATTTATTCAATCATCATTACACCCTATTCAAATTTACATTCATTCGTATTCACAAAAACCTATACTGCAACTGTAGCTAACAACTAATCTTCCTTTGTATCACATTGTCCAATTATTTGCATTATACTTAATATCAAACAAAAAATGTATTTATCTTAACCTCAAATTTTAAGCCATGGACCTGGAGGAGGAGTGACACTTTCGAACATTTGTATTTGCACTTGTTCCCAGGGGTTCCCGAGGCTAGGATTTCTATAAAAACAATACACCTCAAACTCGAATTTGTTGTTTTTTACCTTCAGTTAAATGCATTTCAAGCTTCCAAATTCATTTTTGCATCTTATGCAAATCCTGGGAGCTTTCTGAAGCATTAATCGCTAGCTGGGGCACCTCTACCAATAATTTCCACAAAAGAAGATGACCATTCCTTCGATTCAATTCAGCAAAACACACACTAACATCCAACAGCAGCATCTCCCAATAATTATTAAACAAAAGCATCTCTATTACGGTATCGCTAGGTTACCCTACAAAAGTAAAGCCACAAGAAATCGCAACACCTTCCAGCTACCAAAAATTCACAGACAACAGCTTCAAATTTTACACATTATACGGACAAAGTATCACGAGAGACAAAGGCGCGATTACCTTAGAGGAGTCGACTTTCGAAAAATTCCTCACAACGGACACGACCCGTTCAGTAACCTCCGACTTATGGAGGAATGAGCCCCTAACCTCGTCGGAGAAGTAGCGCTTGATCAGCTGAGACAGGCCGGCGCCATTTCTAGGGTTTTGCGGCACCAGTACACGATGATTAACATTCACTCGGAGGTATCTGAGCAGAGCACTCCTCGCCGCCATTGCTCGCGCCTACGGATGCAGCAAAAGTGAGTAGCTGGTGACGAACTGAGAGCAGTTTTCGGTAATTTTACGGAAGCTCTGGACAGTATGTATATGCTCAAAGGGATACTAATGTACAGGTTATAATGCAGGCAGTACAACACTATTGCTTCGTGTTACCAGGTAGGCTTTAAGCGGGCCGTCTGTTAGGAATATCTTTACATCACCTCTTTCATTATTTTTATTATAATCGTTCACTTTTTATAACAAAATTCATTACTTTTAATATAAAGTACAGTTATCAAAATTTATTATTTTTATTAAAAATTTATTATCTTAAAAAAAATTAAAAATCATCCAAATTTTTTTACAATGTTAAAGTTTAATTTTAACATAAATTATCTATAAATATATTTAAATTTTATTAATCAATTCTCTACAGTTTCATATTCAATTAAACGAAATGATTAGTGAAAATATTAATTTTTTTCAATCAGTGCTTAAATTAAATTGTAGGACACAATTTGACAATAAAAATAATAATTATCTATAAATATATTTAAATTTTATTAACCAAAGTCGACGATCAAATTGTCCACGTGAAAATCAAAGCCCCCCGGAAGGCTGAAAAGGCAAGCCAAAGATTAAAGCCGTTGATCGTCCAAACAAGACATCAAATCTAAAGCCGACGATCAAATCGTCCACACGGAAACCGAAGCTCTCCAAAAGGCAGAAATGGCAAACCGAATATCAAAGCTGCGGAACGTCCAAATAAAACATCAAATCCAAACGTAAAGATCAAATAATCACCTACACAAAAACCAAAGCTTCCCAAAAGGCGGCAAAGCCAAATTAAAGATCAAAGCCTCGGATAGTCCAAAGAGGACATCAAATCCAAAGCCGACGATCAAGTCTCTTGCACGGAGACCAAAGTCCTCCAAAGTCCGGCAAAGTCAAACCAAAGAACAAATCTCTTCGAATCAAAGAAGCCATTAAAAACCAAGTTGGAAAACAAATCTGACTCGGAAAGATAATCAAATGACCTATTTAAAGAATAAGATCTACATTAAAGTCAAATCAAATATAATTTGTACAAATTTTATCTTTATTAAAAATAATACAATTTTTTGTCTATATGTATAATTATATTTTCAGAAAAAAAAAATGACTAATTATATGAGACAAACAAAAATAAAAATATTTGACAAATTAAATGGGACGAAGAATGTATTACTATTAGATGTATATATATAAATACATATATATGAAGTCACTTTTTTTTCTTTTCATAACGTGGGAACCCGCAGCCGCTAGCGCACTGGGTAAACTCCCGATCGAACTGCTTTTTATATATACGTTTTGTATCTAATGCAATGGATGACGATGGAGTTAGGTTGTAGGTGAGACCGCTGACATGATGCCCTAAACTATCGTATTATAAAATTCAAATACAAAGTATATACGCAACGCAAGAATAGTCGAGGTGTGTCTACACTTTTCCATGCCTCTCCTATTATTATTATTATTATTATTATGTCATTGATTTCAATTGATTTGTTTTCTTTTAAAAAAAATATATATATTTATAATGTTATTTATTTATATTTTAAATCAATATAATAAATAAAGTTATTACAAATAAACAATAGCAATTAAGATATAATATTTAAGGTAACAAAATTTAATTAATTAATTGATAACAGTGAATTATAATATTAATTTATTGTATTTTTAAAATAAAATTAATATATATATAATTAAAATAAATTTAAAATATGTGTTTAAATATTTTAAATATGATATCTTAATAATATATATAATATAAATATAATTTATAGAGAATAAAATTTTATGTAATATAAATAAATAAAAATATATTTATTTATAATTCAAATAAACAAATTTTATATATAAAAAAAGAATTCTAAATATAAATAAAAATATTTGTTTATTAATTGGAGATATAGATATATAAAAGTTTTGACTGAATTCTATATAATATATCATGTTATATGTTATTAAGTTAATTAAATGAATCATATTTGTTAAGTATATTTCGATTTAGTAAATTTTACCAAAAATATAAATATGTCAATTGAAATGAAACAGACAAAAAAGTGGGAGAAAAAAGCCAATTGAAATGAGAATAAGGAGTATTAAAATTGTAGAAGTCAGTAAAATAAGAACGGGATTGGGGGTGTTCATTTTTCAAATTTCTTTCATATTTTTACTATTCACAAAAAAAATTTCCTTCAAAATTATTAAATCAAACATATATATATTTTTATATCATCCAAAATTCAATTTTATATTAATATTTATTTATATTACATTATACAATCATTTTAATTTATAAATTTTACTGTTTAAATTCCAACAAAAAATCCAACCCCAAACAAACACTCCCGATTTGTTTGTTTAGCATTTTGGTTTGAAGTATTTTTTATGTACAGTATAAAAAATTGTATCGATAATATAAAAAATAATATTTTATATTGAATGTTATTCCCTCATTTTCCATCTTATTGTCTACTATTTTTATTTTCGTCATTCCCACATAATTTGTTATTTTTTTAAAAAAATAATTATATACTTTAATTATATTTTATATTTCATAATCAATAATTTTTTTATTCTTAACTAAAGTAAATAGTTAGTTTAATTTTAATATATAATTATTTTTACTAATATATTTTTTAATTATTTACTAATTATATTCTATATAAGTTATTGTATTTACTATTTACTATAAATTTGACATAAAAGGTGTGATAAAGGGAATAATTTTTTGTAAAATGATAGAATATAGTATTATATTTAATTACAGCGTCAATTGAGTCAAATTAATATGATACTAATTTGACTCAATTAACACGTATTTATAAAGAAAGTAACGCATATTAATATAATATATAACACATATTTTGAGAGCATATTTTATAATCATATATAGTACAATGTAGTCTAATTTCAATACAATATATTTTAATTTCAGTACAGTAGCATAATAAATAAATTATACAACATAGCGCAATATATAACCTATGCATAAAATACTATTACAATATATATATATTGATTTTGGCACAATATAGAACTCACACAGTACATATTTTTTATATCAGGATATTCTATCTGTCTTGTGATAAAATATTAATTAATTCAAATTAATATGCTAACTTGATTATATGTTATCTATCAGGTAATGTAATACTAATTATTTCAAATTTGTATGCTAACTTAGTCAAAATAGCAAAAAGCTAATTTTGACCAAATCAACACCGTAACTGCTGTCATATATATATACATATATATTCTATCTGTCAACAGAAAAACATCATTTTTACTATTTTTATCTTTTTCGTTAGAAAATATTTTTCTTCCTATTATTAAAAAATAGTTACATATTAATATCAAAATATTTTTAATGTTTATATAAATTACAAATATATCATTACATATATATATATAAAAAAATATAAATGAAAAAATATTAAAAAAACTCGTTTTAAATATTTTTTGTTAACTAGTAAAATATTAGTCATTCGATTCCACATAAAATGTCCACATTATCTATTTTCGTTCGTTCTATATAATTTGTTTATTTTATTTTATTTTTTTTGAAAAAATATAATCATACATTTCAATCATATTTTACATTTTATAATATATAATTTTTTTAATGTTAATTAATTAATTTAATTATTTTAATTTTAATCTATAATTATTTTTATTATATTATAATTATTTTTAATAATATATTTTTAAATTATTTATTAGTTATATTTTACCGATAATCATGTATTTACAAGTAACGTGGATATATTATATGGTGACATTTGCTTTTTGCACGTAGATTTTTGAATATTAGTATTATATTGGATTATAGTAAAAAAAACAAAAATACCCCTATTAGTATAGTGTAATATAAAAGTAATGACATTTGTGTAATATATTGTAAGTTGAAAGGGTATTTATTATGTTAAGTAAGTAATACAATTACTAAATTAGAAAATGGTAACCTTATTTTGGGACGGACGAAAATGGTAACCTTTTAATGGGATGGAAGGAATATCAATATTTTTTAAATCTCTATCCAACCCAATTAAGACGATATTTATGGCACTACAAAGTATACTACAACAACTTAAAAAATATATTTTCTCATGAAAGAAAAAGAGTAAATTAGAGATAATATTATTGTGTCCATAAAAATGGTTGGACAAAGCAAAACATAAAAAACAAACGAGTTAGCAAGAAACACGTACTAAAACTACAATAGGACGCAACCGCGCACGCGGGCCTGCCCAAATTTGTATGACTCTGGTTACTTCTAGGGTTTTTACTATTTTAATTTTTTTTTAAAAAAAACATCAAATTCAACCCATATTATTTATTTATTATATTATATAAAACATTTATTTTACATTCAAAATGTTATATCAACACATATTTATAGATTTTTATTATTCTATTTTTTTCCTCCAAAAAAATATCAAATCCGACTCATATTATTTATTTATTATACTCCATTCGTCTCAAAAACTATATATCCGTTTGTTTTTTGCACGGAGTTTTAAAAATACTAGTATTATATTGGGATGTAGTATGAATAAAATTGAAATGACTAAAATAACTTTATTAGTATATTGTGATATAAAGGTAACGACATTTGTGTAATATAACGTAAGTTATAAGGGTATATGTAATGTTAGGTAGATAGTACAATTACTAAAAAAGAAAACGAATACTTTGTTATGAGAGAGACTAAAATGGAAAAATGGATACTTTGTTATAGGACGGAGTGAGTATTACACAAAAATTTCATTTTACATTCAAAATATCACATCAATACATATTTATATTATATCGAATAATTATTTCAATTCAAAATCTTACTATTCAAAAACCAAAACTCAAAATAAAAATCTCACGAATAAATACACCATTATTTCGAACTTTTGGAACAAGCACCGCTCACCAATATAGGTTTATTGGGTGTGTTTGTTTGGGAGTTTGGATTTTGAGTTGAGATTTGAATAGTAAAAATTTTGAATTTGAATAGTTGTATGATGTGATATGAATAGGTGTTGACATGATGTTTTGAATGTAAAATTAATTTTTATTATAATATAAAAAATAAAATAAATATTTGATTTGATTTTTTTGAGAAAAAGAAAGGGATGATAGCAGATTGAAAATCTAATCCCCAAACAAACACACGCTTGTATTTGGTTGAAAATTCCATAGGATAATGTTTCACGTTGCTTGAATTACGATGAAATATAAATTTATTTATTTATTTATTTAAAAACAATAAAAATAAAAAGCTATAAACAATTTTAATTTATTTTATTTTATTTTTTAAGTTTTAAAATGTATTGGGCTTATTCACCCAAAAGAAAATTCGGACACAATTTTCAAGTTTTTTTTTTTTTCATATAAATCAATATTAATATAAAATATTATTTTTTATATTAGCAATGCATTTCTTATATTTCATATATATATATATATAAGATAGTAAACTATATAAACTCCCTCTGTCTTTTAACATTCTGTATTTTATTTATGGTGTGAAATTCTTTATATTAATATAAAGTTTGCACGTAACACTCACTTCATGATATTTAATTGTAAATATGAACACAAATTGTGCAAACTTTATACAGTAAAAGATTTGTAATATCTTAAATGATATTTTTTTAATAAAATAAATAAATAATTAATTAATCCTTTATTTTTATAGTTTAGATAAAATCCAGATAATAATTTATCTTTAAAAAATTATAAGAATAGAGCATTAATTGATTATTTACTTATACATCATAATAAAAATAAAATAAAAAATGACTATTTAATATATTATCTTTTTTATTTGTATGAAATTTACATAATTAGATTTATATTTACAATATCAATTTTGGATGAATAGGATGTTTTGCTCAAAATTTATAATAACAGAAAAAGAGTTTCACCGTAATAAATAATATTTTATGCATTTTTACTAAAATATAAAAAAATATTATATAATTCGTCCTATAATAAACAATTAAAATCAAAATGCTAAACAAAGAAACCCATTTTGATTTACAATTAGATATTAATTTAAATTTATATTTATTAAAATATAAGAATGTGTTATACACAATATTTTTCCTTTTTATTTTAATTTTGTTATTATTTACAAATATCACTAATTTTAACTATACTGTATTTACTAAAAACAAAAATTGTGTTTGGTTACTGTCTCAAATTTGATTTGATACTATAATCCTAGGGTGTGTTTGTTTGAGGGATTTGTTTGGATTTTAACTATTCATCCTATTTTTTCTTCCCAAAAACATCAAATCAAACACCTATTTTTTATTTTTTATATTATACTAAAAATTAATTTTACATTCAAAACATCACATCAACACCTATTTATATCACATCATACAACTATTCAAATTCAAAATTTTTACTATTCAAATCCCAGCTCAAAATCCAAACCCTCAAACAAAACACACCCTAGCAGGGTGTTCTATGTAACATGATTTATTTAAAATTTTTGATTTTTATCTATTTATTAGGTAACTATATATATATATATATATTTAGTTATTTGTATAACATAATTTTTTATTATTCATATAATAAAATTTATATGATATATTATATAGTATTTTATTAAAATATAATTTTAAAAATATTTAAATATATATAGTTTTAACTATAATATTACTTTATAAATAAAAAAATTAATTTAATAAACACATAACTTAAAACCTAATGGAAAACCCAAATCACATAAATATTTTTTAAAATATATAGTAAATTTTTGTTCACTTATTTAAAAAATTCAACTTAAAATATTATTTCTATATTACAAATATTAATTTTTATATTTAAATACTATAAAAAAATACAAAGTAAACATACATGTGAGTTTCTTTTGTATCAAACTTTCAATTTTTAATATTTAAACTTTGTATTTTTTGAAAAAAAAAATTATCCTAATTCAAAGTATTTTATTTTATCATTTTTTCTCTCTAACATTCAAAAGTATCATTTCATTTCTTAATAAAAGTAACCATATATATTAATATTAAGATTATTTTTAACTTTTATTTAAATTATAAATATTTCATTATACATACAATTATTTTATTCATAAAATTAAAGACAAAAAAATATCAAATCATCTTACATACTTCAATTAACCAATAAAATATTATTATTTTTAATTTATTACAAAACTCGAGAGAACCCATTGCAAATGGGACAGAAAAGGTACATTTTTTTATTTCACAAAATATTTGATCAAATATTATTATTTTAACTAATCAGTCTAATTAAAATTTTAAAAACTATAAATTAAGAAATTTAAAATAAAGATTAAAGTATATAATTTTTTCTAAATGACATAATAAGTGAGACAAACGATAAGTGAGACGAAGAGAATATTTTATATACTCTCTCCGTCCCATAAAAAAGTATCAATTTTTCTATTTTAGTCCGTCTATAACAAAGTATCTATTTTCTTTTTTAGTAACTGTACTATCTACCTAATATTACAAATACACTTACAATTTACAATATATTACACAAATGTCATTATCTTTATTTGTCCGTTACCAATATATTCATTTTTATTTTTTTTTTAATTTTGGTCCGTCCCATAAGAAAATATTCATTTTCTTTTGCATAACATTACAAATATTTTTTAAATTTACAATATATCACACAAGTATCATTAACTCTATATCATACTATATTGATGAAGTTAATTTAGTCGTTTTACTTGTATGTTAATACTCCTTCCGTCTCAATATAATAGTCTTGTTTACCATTTTTGTCCGTCTCAAAACAATAGTCGTATTTCTATAAATAATCATATCACCATAAAACTATCACTATATTTTCATTATTATTACACAATTGTCACTACTTTTTACACTAATATATTCATAAGGGCAAAAAAATTATTTATCCTTATATTTTACCTACTATCAATATAATATCAATATTTCTTAAATCTCGTCTCAAATAAGATTATATTTTTTAGACGGAGGGAGTATAATACTAATATTTTTAAGAGTACAGTCCGAATTTTTTATATAAAAAAATAAATAATTGACGTAGAAACTGTTGCGTAATAAACGGTGTGAGCTACTGTAGTAAGATAGTCAGCAAAATATCTCACATATACATACAAAAATATATATATACAATACACACATTTAGAGAGAGAGAGAGAGAGAGAGATTACGTTCTGATTTTGATTGTACGAAACTGCAGAAGGAGACAAGCTAGAAATAAATTAATAAATAAATAATAATAATAATGGAGGAGGTTTAGCCGATCGATAAAACGTGGAATGCGCGGCTCTGTCCCTCATCTTCTTTCCTCCACACTTTTCCTTTTTCTCACACACAGCAGTTTCTGCAAGTCCCCAATCCAGTCGCCGACCAACCCGACCCGAATACCCACCCGCAATGCTCCGCCGCTACTCCTGCGGCCTCCTCGGCTCCGGCTCCGTACCCGAACCCGCCGACCGCGACCCGGTCCTCCTAATCTCGGGCATCGGCGGCACTATCCTCCACTCCAAGAACAAAAGATTCGGGTGCGAAACCCGTATTTGGGTCCGACTTCTCTTAGCCGAAATGGAGTTCAAGAACAAGGCCTGGTCCGTGTACAACCCTGAAACAGGTTCTTCTTCTCCACTGTTCCCCTCCCTCTCCGAATTCCGACCACATCGCCGGATAACCATTTCCTTGCCTGAAATTCGCAGGATACACTGAAGTCTTGGACGACAGCACTGAAATTGTGGTTCCTCAGGACGATTACGGCCTCTACGCCATCGATATTCTCGATCCTTCCGCGGTGCGTGCCTGAGCCTTTTTTTTTTTTTTAATTGTTCATCTTTAATTAGGTTATCCGCTTGTCCTTTTTCTTACAGTTAAACTCTTGTCTCAGTTCGTTAAATGTCTGCATATCTCCGACTGTTACCATTTCCATGAGATGATTGAAATGCTTGTTGGCTGTGGGTATGAGAAAGGGACCACACTTTTCGGCTATGGCTACGACTTTCGGCAGAGCAATAGGTAGTATTTTAGGACAAGCATGTTGAACTTGTTGTCTCTGTGTGTTCTACATTGGACTTGTTCGAATGTTTTTTTACGAGGTTTGGTAATGCATATTCATGTGTGTAGAATCGATCAATTGATGGATGGATTAAAGGAGAGGCTGAAAACTGCGTATAAAGCTTCCGGGGGTAGGAAAGTCAACATAATATCGCATTCGATGGGTGGATTGCTCGTCTCGTGTTTTATAAGCCTGCACGGCGACGTATGTCTGCTTCGATCTCGAGACCTTAATTATCGCTATCTCGTATTCGATGAATGCCGTGCAAGAATCCATTTATGATTGTAATAAATCAATGTCCCGATGCCTTTGAACTGCAGATCTTTTCGGAATATGTCAACAAGTGGATCGGTATCGCCACTCCGTTCCAAGGTTTATTCTGCATTTGTTGGATTTGCTCGTTCTTTTATCTTTTATTACATCGATCTCCTATTGTTAGAATTGGACAATCAAATTTGCTCGTTGTTTTATTCAGGTGCCCCGGGATGCATCAATGACACTTTACTCACCGGCCTGCAGTTTGTCGAAGGTTTCAAGAGCTTCTTTTTCGTGTCGAGATGGACTATGCACCAATTGGTAATATCCCCGGCCCCGATAAGTTTATTTTAATTTTAATTATTATTATTATTATTATTATTATTATTATTATTATTATTATTATTTTTTACGTAAAGAACAACTTATTTGTCTTTTGGTTAGCTGGTCGAGTGCCCGTCTATTTACGAGATGTTGCCGAATCCCGATTTCAAATGGAAGAAAGAACCCGTGGTCCAAGTGTGGAGGAAGCACTCCACCGAGGATGGAGAGACATCGGCGGAATTGGAAACGTATGGTTGTACTCAATGCGTGACGTTGTTTGAGGAAGCCTTGGCAAACAACGAGGTACGACTTTTATCCAATTCGTCTATAGTATTTTGTAGGTAGAAGTGTGTAAGAGGTTTCAACAATTTTGACATTTGACTTTATTGATAAAGTAATTGTACGTGTAATGGTATATTTATAATTTAAATAAAGGGTCAATTATTTTTTTTAGTCCCCTATCTGACCTACTTTATTATTTTAGGATTTTAAGTGAATCATGCCTGAAAATAGTCCCGTATGTAAATTCTTTTTTCACTAAAATGGTCCTCCGACGCCTGACTTGCTACTTTGGTCCTCTGTTGCTAACGTGGCGTTGACGCGGCTGATATGTCATTGCCACGTAGATGTCAAAAGACTATTTTAACGAAAATTTTTTACTTGCATGACTATTTGAGTCCATTTAAAGTTATAAAGGAGGTCAAATACGAGACTAAAAAAAATAATTTATCAAGATATTTTGTAAAATCTGTTTAAAAAAAGGTCCACGTGTCGTTGATGTGGCATCTACGTGGCGATGAAATGTCAGTGTCACGTCAGCAATGATGGGCCAGCGTGGCGAGTCCGGCACCGAAGACCATTTTAGCGAAATTTTTTACTTACGGGACTATTTTCAAACATGGTTCATTTAATTCTAAAACAATAAAGAGAGTCAAATACACTACTAAAAAAATAGTTTACCCTTCAATAAAAGTTAAGTATTTTGGTATTAATATATGATTAATTTTACAAATAATACTTTTGAATGAAACATACGAAAATGATAAAAAAAAGGTACTTTGAGTTGAGATATAAGAGTATATTCTTCTTTCCTCAATGCTAGGAGTTGCAAATTGAGTCGAGCGGAGTTAACCTTTTCTAAACTTGACTTGAGTTATATATCTGATTTAGCTATGTTTACATAGACACTTTTGAAAGTTTTTACTATTGCCAAAATTTTTCAAAACTTCTGTTTACATAGAGTAATTTTTTTTGGTTTGATCTAGGGTTATTTATACCAAGTTCAATTGAAAGTGTATCGTAAGAGGTCGAATATTATTTAGAGTATTTCTTTACTGCCAAGTTCGACCTTACGGAACTTTCCAATAGCTCGAAATCGATTAATGAGGCAACTCAATGTTTTATTTCTTAATGTTTTACTTTTATCGCAATCTTTCGAGTGATATTACTTCGATGGTGCAGCTAAACTATGACGGGAAATCGGTTGCCCTCCCGTTCAACACCGCAATCTACAAATGGGCTTCCGGCACTCGGAAAATTCTCGATAGCGTAAAACTTCCCGACGGGATTTCCTTCTACAACATATATGGAACTTCATTTGACACCCCTTTTGACGTTTGGTAGGCTTCGTAATTCCACGCGTATATTTTTTTTCGCCCAAGCATGAATCTTTCCCCGACTATTCTAACACTTACATTTCTCTCGTCTTTTTACAGCTACGGTTCGGAATCTTCTCCCATCGAAAAGTCGTCGGAGATATGCCACTCTATGGTAAGGCTTTGTTTACATAGACGCTTTTGAAAATTTTGACAGTGGTAATATCAACAGTAATATTTTCAAAAATAATAATATTATATATATATTTTTTACAAAATATTATATCAAATACTTAATTTTATACCATTTTCGAAATTTTCTTGGTCCGATTTTTGAGTTTGGATTTTTTGAATAGGAAAAGTTTGAATTTGAATAATTATTTGATGTGATATTAATAGATTTTAGATGTGATGTTTTAAATATATAATTAATTTTTAGTATAATATAAAAAATAGAAAGTAATTGTTTACTTTGATATTTTTGGAAGGAAAGAAAAAAAAAACTGAATAGTAAAATTCTTGTTAAAAATTCACAAAATAACACCACCTAAAACTTCCAAAGATCGGAATGTAAGTTTTTGGTCTCGACACATTTAAATTGCATCACTAATATATTTATTACTTATTATTTTGCACGTCGTCTACTCGATTAAGCCGCAATACTCCAACGTCGATGGCGATGGAACGGTCCCCTCCGAATCAGCTAAGGTACGGCGCGTGCCTTACAACGACTCCTACGTTATTACCACCGTATTCATAATAAACATGTAATGATATCTTATCTTCAATCATTTGTCTAGGCCGATCATTTCGAGGCAGTGGAAAGAGTCGGGATTATGGCTGACCACCGCGGGCTATTGGACGACGAGAATGTGCACAAACTCATTCAAAAATGGTTAGGAGTTTCTCCTAAGGATACATCAAAGAAGAAGCGAATAGGAAAAGTGGTGGATGCATAGGTAAGTTGCGATTTCATCTCAAGGTAGAATTCAATAGTTTTTTTTTTTTCATAGTCCAAGTGTACCACGATGATTCGCAAAACCTTGTCCGTACGGGAGAATATTTTTTACGAGTTATGTTGCGCTTATTGTTGCGACATTTGATATCGCCGTCTATACGTGTATTGGTGTCTCGGACATCCCCCTTCTTTCGCATTTTGTCTTAGAGTCGATCGACGATGTTGTCTGAAAGCCGTTGCTGCTATTAACATGATACTTTTGCTAACATAATCGTGTTCTTGATCGATCTAAGATAAGCTCAAGCTGCATCAAAGCATCTTCCACCATGGATTGATGCTCACTAGCTTTGGTTAACACGCCCGTGTTCCACTAATACAGTGCATGTATGTATTTGCAGGACACGGGCGTGTTGTCTGAGTTGAGTTCTGCACTTGCACTTGGGAATTCGTCAGCGTTTATTAGTGAGTGAACAGACAAAATAAGTGTTAGGATTAATAGAATAAATTTTATTTCACACTTTACAATTAGGGTACAATATTATATATATACAAGAGATATATTAGGTAGGGATATATATATCTATATATATAATATATATCAACATATATATATATATCAACATCCCCTCAAACTCAAGGTGGAACAGTGAAATTTAACTTGAGTTTGCTCAAGAATGACTGAAAACGGCCGGGAAGACGAGACTTGGTGAAACCGTCGGCAGTCTGATCAGCAGAGGGAATGGGAGATAAGGAGATGTTGCCATGAGCAACGTGATGATGTACAAGGCGACAATCGATCTCAATGTGTTTCGTACGCTCGCGGAAGATATCATTCGTCGAAATCTTCATGGCGCTCTAACTGTCGCAATGAATAATAGTGGCAGAGGACTGAGGCACTCCAAGATCAGCCAGCGAAGACATAGAAGCTCGGCAGTGGTGTCGGTAAGAACTCTATATTCAGACTCTGCACTGGACCGGGAGATAACCGTTTGTTTCTTGCTGCGCCACGAAATAAGCGAGTCGGCAAGGAAGAAGCAAAACCCGGTGGTCGAGCGGCGATCAGAGGGATCTCCCGCCCAATCAGCGTCAGAATACCCGGTCAAAACTAAGGAAGAACGAGCTGAATAATGAAGCCCATGGAGGAGAGTACCTTTGATGTACCGTAGAATCTGTAGAACAACATAATGATGAGTCGTCCGAGGAGCAGACATAAACTGACTGACGATATGGACGGCATAGGCAATATCCGGTCGAGTAACAATTAGGTAGATTAGACTTCCCACCTGCTGAAGATATAGAGTTGGATCATCAAGGGGGATGCCGTCCATCGGAATAAGACAACAGTCAGAATCAAGAGGCGTAGGGGCAGTCTTGGAGTCAGTGAGACCGGCACTAGATAGGAGGTCGGAGGCATACTTGGCTTGAGAGAGATAATATTTGTCGGAGGTGTCGGAGATCTCAAGTCCTAGGAAATACTGAAGAGGCCCTAGACTCTTCATCTCAAAGTGGCGGTGTAGATGAGCCTGTAGCTCAGAGATACCTGATGCATCATCTCCCGTAATGATCATGTCATCCACATAAAGTAGCAAAACAGTAATTCCAGCTGACCCACGACGAAGGAAGAGAGCCGAATCATGATCATTGAAAGTACAGCCAAGCTGGAGTAGAGCGCAGAGCTAAATTTCGAAAACCAAGCTCGAGGCACCTGTTTCAAACCATATAAGGCACGACAAAGTTTACATATCTTGGAAGGCGTAGGAAAGCCAGAAGGAGGAGACATATAGATGTCCTCGGATAGATCACCATGCAAGAACGCATTCTTGATATCGAGCTGGTGTAGGGGCCACCGACGAGCGGTAGCGATAGCGATAAGACAGCGGACAGAGGTAAGACGAGCAACCGGAACAAATATCTCCTCATAGTCTATACCATACTGCTGGGTGTAGCATTTGGCTACCAAACGCGCCTTGTAGCGCTCGATGGATCCATCAGAGTGAATTTTGATTCGGAATACCCACTTGCAACCAATAGGTTCTTGCCAGAGGGAAGATCAACCATATCCCACGTATGGGTTTTCTCCAAAGCCTGCAACTCTTCAGACATAGCCTGCCGCCACAATGGATCCGCATACGCCTCACGATAGGACCTGGGCTCATGGTGGGACAAGGTGGTAGAGAAGCAATGATAATCAAGTAAGTGAGTAGGAATGTGACTAACCCGAGTGGAACGGCGAGGGTCAGGATCAGGGTCTGAAGTCAAAGTAGTGTCAGGCTCTGGTAATGGTGATGTATCGGAGTTGAGAGTAGGAGTAGGCTCGGGGATTAGCGTCGGTTCAGAAGGCGCAACCGGGACAACGTTAGGAGCGGGGGACGGGGCCGTGTCATCGGAGGTTAATAGAGGTGGAGTGGGCAAGGTAAAGAACGGAGACGAACGATCAAAGGGGACTCGAAAGTGGGACAAGGTAGAGAATTTAGTATTATCCCAGAATATGACATGACGAGAAATACATAGCCTATTGGAAATGGGATCCCAACAATGATAACCCTTATGCTCTAACCCGTATCCCAGGAAGCAACACAGACGCGCGCGAGGTTCCAACTTAGTGCGCTCATGGGGAGGGAGGAGGACAAAACTGACATAACCGAAAGGGCGGAGAAGACTATAATCAAGGGCATGATTAAATAGTCTTTTAAATGGACTGACATTACCCATGACAGAGGAAGGGACACGATTTATAGTGTGGACAGCAGTGAGTGCGGCTTCCTCCCAAAAGCGATCCGGACAAGAGGCAGATAAGAGAAGTGTGCGGACTGTATCGAGGATATGACGGTGTTTACGTTCGGTGCGACCATTTTGTGGGAGGTGTATGGGCAGGAACGTTGGACAACAGTACTCTGATCAAATAGGAAATGAAGGAAGAAAGAATCGGTATACTCAAGAGCATTATCTGTGCGGAGAGTTTTTATGATGAAGGAAAATTGGGTATGTATCATTTTAACAAAGTCCATATAAATAAGTGAAAGTTAAGAACGCTGCCGCATAAAGTAAATCTATGTAAAATGAGAATAGTCATCAATAAAAGCACAAAATAACGAGAGTCATTCATAGACACAACGGGCGAAGGTCCCCAAATATCAGAGTGAACTAATAAAAATGGTGTATCCGCAACGAAAGTACTATGAGGAAATGACAAGGCATGTTGTTTTCCCAACGAACAATCCACACAATTAAAAGACTCAAACTTGACATAACCCAAAAGACCCTTACTAATCAAAGACTTGAGTTTATTGGAGGACGCATGACTGAGACGATGATGCCACTGAAGGCAGTATGGTGTAGAGGTGGTGACAGCCAGATAAAGGGACGAGGGAGCTGGAGTGACTCAAGTTCAAATAAGCGGCCCGTCTTCCAGCCCTTCCCGAGGGTCCGCCCGGTTTGCGCATCCTGAACCTGCACACCAGTAGAAGAAAAAATCACTGTGAGACCTTGATCAACCAATTGACCAATGGAAATTAGATTTAAGGTTAATTGGGGAATACAATATGTGTCGGGAAGGGATAAAGACGAGGTGGATGTATGTCCAGTATGGGTGATGCGCATATGGGTACCATTTGTGGTAAGGATAGGAGGTAGGGATGATGCGATGGATGTAGAGGTCATAAGGCGTATATCAGAGGTCATATGATTACTGCAGACAGAATCAAAGTACCAATGAGAGTTACCTGATGTGGTAGACATAGCGGTATTGGAAGATAGAACCTGTTTAAAAAGAGCCTCCAGGTCCTGAATCGTAGGAGGCGCAGGCGCAGGCATGACAGAGGCTGTGACAAAGGAGGTACTAGACTGAGGAGGTCCACGAATATGCCGAAGCTTGTAGTTACTACTGCTAGAGAGAGACGGCCTAGTAGGGCAATATTGTATAGTATGACCTAAAACATGACAGTAATGACACTCCACCTTGGGACAATGACCGAAGTCATGATCAGAAGACTGACATCGTTTGCAGCGGTGGGAACGACTCTGAGTAGGAGTTCGGGCGGTGACCGCAATAGCAGAATCAAGCAGAGGAGCCTTGGCTAGGCGGAGACGAGTTTCCTAAAAAAGAATCTCCTGGATAGCTGCATCCAAGGTAGGAAGTGGGTGCAAATGTAACAAAGAGGCACGAACTGCCTCATACTCTAGACGCAAAGCCATTAAGACCTGAATGAGGCGAAGATGATCAGGACTGATCTCAGCTTGATCCAACCGATGCCAAAGGGGTTGCACTTGCGCAAGGAAGTCGTTGATAGATTGTCCTGGTTTCTGTTTTAGATCATGGAGAGTGCTCCGTAACTGATAATAGTGTGCCAAACCAGTAGCACGGAAGCGGACTGCCAAGAAATCCCACGCTGCCTTGGTAGTTTCGAATTGGGCACATGTATCGCCGGAGTGGAAGTATTGCGCAACCAAGTGAGAATTTGATGGTTCTTACTGTCCCAATCCTCCAATTTTTCAATATAAGATTCAACAACTTTGGCGGTAGGCGCAACTTCTCCTATAGAAACCGGAGCAACGGGAGCAACTATATCCCCCGTAACAATCCACCATAATTTCCTACGTATCAGAAAGCTTTTTATCGATTGTGCCCACAAACTGTAATTATCTCCGGATAGGACAACATCTATCGGAATATGGACATCCATCTTTTCCATAAAAAATTTCAAGGGTAGACAATATCTTAAACCTCAAGCCGAAAGCCGAAACGACAGAAACACAAGCAAAATCGAATCGAACCCGAAACACGGAAAATTAGACGGATACAAAAAACTGCTCAAACGGAAGAAGTGAGTATAACATCGCGGAGGAAATTAAATTCCGAACACGACGGTGCAAAGATTGTCGCCAACGGCCGCCGCACGCGCCTCCACGCACCCGCGAGGCATTCGGCCAGAACTCTCGTCAGGCGCATGTGAGGCTCACGCGCCGACGTTGGCCGAGCTGTTCCGGAGTCCGGCCGGTCTTGTGGCGGCGAACACGGTGGTGGTGGCGGTGACGGTCGGCGATGGTCGGAAAGGTGCAATCTGGAACGCGTGGGTTGTTTCGATTTGTTCGAAAAAAATTATGGCTTTGATACAATTTTAGGATTAATGGAATGAACTTTATTTCACACTTTACAATTATGGTACAATATTATATATATATAAAAGAGATATATTAGGTAGAGATATATATACCTAAATATATACAATATATATCAACATATATATATATAACAATAAGATTGACAAGAATTAGAATAATAAATAGTAGAATAAGAAAACAATGTTATAAATAACAAAATATCTTTCAGGGTGAAAATCGTTGTTTAACACATGTTATTTTGTCGGTTTTACTACATATTTTTATTATTCAAATTTTTAATTTTTTTAAAAAATATCAAATTAAAACAATTATTGTTTTTTCTATATTATATTACAAATTTATTTTATATTCAAAATATCACTAAATTCAATTTTTTACTATTAAAAAATTTAAAACCAAAAATCTAAACCAACAAACCTAACCCAAAACTTTAAATCGGGACAACTAAGAAGAATAAGATAGAACAAGATCGAATGAAATTGGTACAAAACATTTTCTTACAAAGCACAAATAGGTCATAACTCAAACTCATCGCCCCACACACACTTAAATAGGCAATCAAAAAACCTTAGAATCAAATGAAGAAATGTAATCCTCTATAGGTACATAATCCGTCAAAAAAATTGGTCTGAATTTGGTATTAGAATAATATTGATGAGATGTTTTATGAAAATATATATATAATTTCGGAAAATACGTAGTTCAAATAATAAAATTTGAGAAAATTTAGTTAAAGAAACAGACTCCTAACTTTAGATATTAAATCAAGCCGGGTTGGATCTTGTGGATTGGGTTTGTTCGGGTCGGATTCTAGGTTTGGACGAGAGTTGTTAACGATCTGAGTGGAGTCGAGCTAAATTTTAATTGTTCATTAACGTTCACGAACAAAGCTTGTGTTCGTTCGTTAAGTTTTCTTTCGAGCTCGTTCGTAGTGTTCGAGCTCGGCTCGTTAAGAATTTTTTTATGTTTGAGCTCGTGTTCGTGTTCGGCTCGTTTAGACTCGATTAAGCTCGTTCGAGTTCGTTTGAGCTCGTTTGTCTTTATTTTTTTAAATTTATATATAAATTATAAAGAAAATTAAAAATTATTTTATTTATATATTTTAAATTAATATTTTATTTATTTATAAATTATAGTTTTATATGTATATATAATATTTATAATAAATATATTATTTAAACGAACGTTCGCGAACAAAGCTCGAGCTTGTTCATTAACCAAATGAGTCTGTTTATGCTATTCGACTCGGCTTGTTAACATTCACGAACGAGCTTTAACCGAGCCGAATCGAGTCGAACCAAGACGAGTTCACGAACGACTCGATTCGTTTAACAGCTCTAATTTTGATTTGGATCGAATTGAAATTAATCGGAATACTTAATTCATTTTATTTATAAATATTTATGAGTGCGTTTTGTTTAACAGTTTTTTAAATTATATTATTTGTTACTATAATATGTATTTTTTACATTTTATAATAAAAAAAGGTTTATATATAATAATGATCATCATTATTATTATTATTATTATAACTATTTTTTTTATTAAAAGTAAAACAAACTTGTTTTATGATAAACATAAAAATCATTGATTTTATTTTTTAATCGCATAAAATACTTTATAATATTAAGGATTTTTTACTTTTATTTTTATTTTTATTTAAATTTAAATAATACTATGATATTTTATAAGAAGAAATAATGTATTTTATTAGTAATAATATGCATTGAATAAGAATTAATTTGCATTTAGAAAACAAATCAAATACACTTATATATTCAAAATTTTATATACTACTCACTCCGTCTGGTTATGGTATCATAGACACAAGAATTTAAGAACAGTATAATTAATAAATAATTAATTATCATATAATAAAAATAATTATAAAATAAGATTAAAATAACTAATTAATTTAATTAAAATTAAAAAATTAAAATTAAAATTAAAGTGTATTAAACGGATGAAATATTTATAATAACAATTTTTTTTTTTTAAAAAAATCAAAATAAATAGTATTTAATTTTTACAATTTGTATTTTTTTTAAAAAAAAAATCTCTAAACTTAAATATAAATGGAAGCATATATCTACTTATAAATTATAGTCCATATCATTTAAATCTCTGCTTAAATATTTAATCATAAATTCTAACAAAAAATTGAGTATTAATACTTATTTTTTATTTTTTTAATAAAAGAATAATCTCTCAATTCAATAACAATTGATATATATATTTTTTATTTATAGCAATTTTTATCTACATGTATTCTACAAGATTTTATTCATAAAAAATAAATATTCTATCATCTAAAATTATGTTTATTTGATTGGTATATATTTTAAATAATAAATAAAAATATAATTTTTTAATAATAAATAAAGTAAAAAATTCGATTTTTTTGTTTTTTTTATTATAGTAAAAATATTTTTGAATAATAAAAAATAAAAAATATAAATTTGTATGAAGAAAATAGTGATTATTAAAAAACAAGAAAAGAAAAAGGAGTTGAAGCGAAACCCCAAAGCAGGCAATAACTGAGACGAAGGAAAGAAGAAGGGGAGGAGATGGAGATGGAGATCATTCCTCTCATCATTTTGCTCTTCGCAATTCCATTCTCGCTCTCTGCTGCTGAATTGGTTGAGTTGGACGGAGGCCCCGATGACGTCGTGTGGGTGGTGCAGCTCTCCGATCTCCACTTCAGCGTGCACCACCCCGACCGGGCGGAGGACGCCACGGATATTTTGGGGCCAACACTCTCCTTCGTCAACCCTTTGCTGGTCTTCATTACTGGCGACCTCACTGGTTAGTTATTTCGTGGTTTTGTTGAGCTGTTTGTTTGTTTGTTTCGGAGTAGTGAATTGATGTTTGTTGGATGCTTGAGAATGGACGGATTGTTCGTTAGAGAATTGTTTAGAAATTCTCAGAATGGCTGAGAAAGATAACCGTCGTCGTTTACAGGTTCCCTTCTCATTTCGTTGCTTAAGTTGATTTTGGAACGATTTTTTGGTTTCTTGTAGTTTAACTTAATCAAATTTGGTGTGCGAATTTTGAGTGGTGAGGTTCATATTATAGGTTTATATTTTCAAGAAGTGTGTGTTATGTCAATGTTTTGGATTTGGGTTTGGGGTTTTTGATTAGTAAAAATTGAATTGAATTGAATAGTGTTTGATCTGATATTGTGTTTTTGAATGGTAAATGAAATGTTTGTTTTGTTTAGAGTTTATAGGTTTAATTGACTTTTTGTTGATGAGTATATGGAATTGTAACTGTCGGGAGTAGTGTTTTGCGTGTTTGAATCACTGAATTTTATTGTACACGAGCAATTGTCGACTTCTATTGAATGGCATATATTTGTTGGATAATATTTGGAATGATGCTGTTTGTTTTTTTCTTGGGCAAACGTAGTCGATTTTTGTGTAATATATTAAATGAAAAACTAAGTTTTTGATTTGAAAATTTTGATAAATAATGACCACATCTCAAAGAAGATTTTATTCATTCTTGAAAAAAAGGATCATTTTGTGCTAATGCTTGGGATCGGCCTTAAGTTGTATACTTGTTGGTATAAATAACACATTGACGGAAATATTTGTTATGTTTTCTATAACAAGATCTAGTGCGGGTATCTCTTATAGCCTATGACTACACATCAATATGTATCTGTGTGCGTGGAAAATATTTATTCGTCAAACTTAATGTCTTGAAAGGATATTTTTTTGTAGAAGCTGATTGTGCTTCTAGCATACCTTCTGCTGCATCCTTCTTGGGTATTGGTTAATGGATTAGTTTTATAATCGAGTATGTGAGTGAGTTGATAAATTTGTTGGGCTTACTTATAGATTGATTCTGAAGCTGATGCTTCCGGGTTTATATTGGTATATGAGATGTAGAGAATATTGTATGTTGCAGATGGTAAAAGCAAGGACATGGTGGTAATGAAACAGGATGAGAAAGAATGGATTGAATATGAGAAAGTTATGAATCAAGTTGTCGAGAGGAGTGGAATTGACAAGAGTGCCTTTTATGACCTGAGGGGAAATCATGATAACTTTGGTGTTCCTATGATTGGTGGCTCGTCTGATTATTTCTCAAAATACAGCATCAATGGACAGCTTCAAAGACGTGGAAAGGTTAATAGCATCACCATTCAGGTAGGCTGATTCTTTTATTGTTTCGTTCCCTGCAATAGTTATAAATTTGGAACCGGGATTCTTGACAAATTTTAAAATTCGATTATTATTGTTTATGTTATTTTATTTTTCTCCCGGTGTAACTATTGAATCATTAATGTTAAATAGAACTGTTAAAGACATTTAAAAATGTTAATGCGTGTCTCACACCTTTCTGCAGACTAGCAAAAGAAAACTTCTTTTTGTTGGGTTTGACAGCACAATGTCTACTGGTTTACGGGGCCCAACGAACTTGTTTGGACATCCGACTGATGAGTTATTAGCAGAAATAGATTCCGAACTCTCGCAATGGGATTCTCAACCAGCTCAATCAGTAACTAAGATATCCTTTGGGCATTTCCCTCTTTCATTTTCTGCTGCATCAACATCTGGAAAGACATTGAAGGATGTATTCATTGCACGCGCCTTAGATGCTTACTTATGTGGACATTTGCACCTCAAATTTGGTAAGAATCTGAAGCAGCACCATCGCTGCAGCCAGCCTGGTCGGTGTTCCAAACAGTTATTCCAGTTGAATGGTCACCGGAGTATTGTAGAGAATACATCTAGTTGCTCTGATGTTTCATCGAAGGCTAATGAATTTTGGGAATGGGAAATGGGAGACTGGAGGAGTAACAGAGCTATGCGAATTTTGGCAATCGATCGGGGTCATATTTCATTCGTTGATGTTGATTTTAAGATGGGAGCCAAGAAAGCTATTATATTGCCTACATTTCCTCTGGATTCACGCTTTACTTCAGCATCATCGCCAAACTATAAATGTGATACATCTGACCCTTCTTCTTATGGGGAGATTAGAGCTATGGTGTTCTCTGCTTCTCCTATTCTCTCGGTTTTGGCTAAGATATATGACTCTAAACCTGGAAAGCTTGTTCTTGTATTGGAGACACCGATGACAAAGCTTGAAAGTTCTCGCGGCGATCTCTATGTTGCCCCATGGAATGCCCAAGCTTTTGAGGATCCATCTCCTGAGAGGTTCCGGCTTCAAATAGAAGCAACTGATGTCATGGGGAGATCGACTGCCTCTGAACTAAGGCCTTTCTCAATAACTGGTCTCCCTGCGAAGTTCTCATGGAGTTGGAAAGAGTTTTTTGTGATGGGTTGTCAGTGGGATGCCTTGTACAACCCAATACTCTGGCTTTTCTATTTTCTAGTCCTTTCGATGCTTCTAATTCCAAAAATATTCCTTTCTTTTTCAAGGAGACAGTACACATACAGAAGCTTTAAAGCCAACAAATGCTTCACTAATTGCCTTACATGGATCTTTGTTGAACTATATAATCTTCCCGAAGTATGGCCATGCTTGATAGTTTACTTGTTTTACCTTCTTTTATGCCCTTGGTTTTATGGCCAAGTCCTTACAGAAGATATGGACAGAGCATACATGACTTACAGGGGGTGGGTGATGGGGTCTAATGATTTGGGGAGGCTAGAATTTCTCGGGTTTCCGGATGTAATGGTGGTGGTTCTTATGCATCTATATCTTGTAGTTTTTCCAACGATATTGACAATTATTGCATTGGCTGCTGAAAGTGGGGTATATCAAGATTACCTTCTCTCTATATCGAGTAAGAAAAAGGATGATTATGATGGTGGAAGCAAGAATTTTCAATCACCCAAGACCCGCGCCACTAGGGAACCAGAAATTATTCTCCGATGGCGCTGGTTTAGGAAATTTCTACTTTTTGTTACTTTGGCAATCTTTTGGAGACATTTTAAGGTACATATTTCTTCATGCTAGTAAATATGTTCTGTTTCTTGTCTTTAAAGCTCATTTATTCTTTTACATGCTTAGAATTGGGTTTTCTGTCTCTCGTGTTGAGTTGCAAAAGCTAGAATTGATCAGATATGCTATTTCTTTTTACATATTTGGTTAAAGATACGGGTGAGCTTTTCCCGGGTAGAGTGTGGCGATTATACTTTTACAGGCAGATAGGTTAGGGATGTACAGTTTTGGTTTCCACAAAAAAGTTATTGGGATTTTTTCTGTCTTTTTTCTTTTTTTTTTTTTTCCCTAGAAGTAATGGAGTCGGGTGATGTTCACGAATCTCTTTTGTATATAGTTGATATTGTGCATGCCTCTTTTTCGCACTCTTAAATCTACTCAGATACTAAACAAAAATTTAACAATATATCCACATCTTACAATGATATTCAAATCATCTGTAGTTCAAAGGCTTCGTCATGGATTTGATCATTCATCATTATAGTGCTAATTAGCTAAAATCGAAGTGTTAATAAAGACTAAAGGGATCATTATATCACAAGCAACTTGGTACATCATACAACGTTGAGATACTTTTATATATCTGATTATCTTTATTCTCTTGGCTTGCTCTGATGCAGAGCTGCAGAGCTCTCTCTAAAGCATACGAGATGAATCCGGTCATCCATTTCCCACTTTACTGCTTCACAGTTCCTCTGTTGCTGGGCTATACTGTCTGGAAAACTTGGAGAAACTTCAATGGCACTTATAAAAAGTAGGCCTTCTTCACTCCTGAAAATTTTGTGATACTGCTGGAATACTACATTGTCTAAATGTCCTTTTTTTCTCGGATTCATTGAAATTTCTGGTTTGTACCTTATATGTGTAACCCTATACGAGCTTAAAGCCTTGAACTGTAAGAAACGAGAGAATGTTGTGAAGATTAGTAGGAACGAAAAATAATTCTTTTATCATTTTCTTTGGAAGTGACACTGGAGATTAACATCAACAAAACTAGTTTGAGGGTTCTCACCAGTTTTTGGGCTTGGGTTGTAATTATGAAAGAGTGATAAGGTTTAATGTAATATGAATACTGAATAGGATTGAAGGCATCAGGAGGTAACTTGAGGGGTCGGTCTTAAGATTCAAAATTTCCATTTTCAGATGGACTCTGGAGAATTTAAATGAAATCTTAATGGTGCATTTGTACTATTGTGTAGCAAAGTCACTTGGATTTGGTATCAACATTGTTTTTTTTTTTTTTTTTTAATCCTGCTGTAAAATGTAGAATCAAAACAGCATAAATAGATAGAGATCGAACCTGGGATAAAATGTTTAACTGCAAGACAACAGTCCTAAACATGGGATTGATGGGCCTTTTTCTAAGTTGGATGGAGATTTATCTTTGATTCTTGTCAGAGTGAATTTATATATAGGATCTGTGTGATGAAGGAACATATGCCGAAATTTGCATAGTAGTTTTCAGTCTGTGTGCTTGCAAGTTCTATCGAAAGAAAATACAGCCTATTACATTGAATTCACTATTGAATTGCACATAAAAGCACCTCTAGTAGTAACAATCCCCCTTAATTGCCTTTACCATTTGTTTCCTTGTCCAATTTTTCTCATACATTCAGTCATTTATGCTCGATATTATATTGTACTTTCTCGAATAGTCTTTCAAATAAGTATTCTTTAAGTAATTGGATATCTGATTTATAATTCGATTCGATTCGAGTTTCTGTTGGGACATTGTTGGTGAATATGTGGATACGTAGGATTCGCCGAAATCCCGATTGTGGGAAGTTGACATGCTAAAATATGTAGGATTAACCTAAGGATCTTAAGCTTGGATTGTAGGAACTTGATGTTCTAAAAGATGTAGGATTCACCGAAGAATCTTAAGCTCGGATTGTAGGAACTTGATGTTCTAAAAGACGTAGGATTCACCAAAGAATCTTAAGCCCCGATTGTAGTAACTTGATTGAGAATGTAACTTTATGCAAGAAAATATATTGGGCTTTTTAAAAAAATGGCCTAAGTCAAATCGGATTTTAAAATTCTAGCCCTCAAACGAGTTTTGAAAACTACTATATTTATATTATGTAGTAGTTTTCAAAACTCCTAAATATATAATTTTAGAAGTTTTTGAAACTTCTAAATTATCAAATATAGTAGTTTTGAAAACTACTACAAATACTTTTATTAAAAAATAAGAATAAATATCATTTAAGCCCTAAACCTATTCTCCCTTCGTTCTCTTCTTCTGCGCGACGACACTGTGGGTTTTCTGCATTTTCTTTTGTCAATCTCTGCCTTTGTCGTTGGTGTTGCTCTTATATGGTAATTGATTTTCAAAATTTTGTTCTCTTTCGTTCTATTTTGTTTTGATTGTTGGTTTGGAAAATATTGGTTGACGGATATTGTAATTTTTGTGTTTTGTTTGTTTTCATATAAATTTGTCTGAGTATCGCTTTTTTTTTTTTTTTTTAAATCAGCACCTCCTATTGTATCTCTGATTTCCTATCGGATTGTTGAAAAAGTTTGAAAGTTGTTTCAATCCAGATTCATAAGGTATTATCTTATTATTTTTATTTATCTTTTACTTTTTACTATTTCTTATTGTATAATCATATAATTTTCAGAATTTTTATTTATCATATTTAAAATTTTTATGGTATATATATTTTTTCTAATTTTTGTAATATTGCATATTCTATTGCCATATTTATGTTTATAAATGAATTTTTTTCATGATTTATAATTAGTTTTTTGTAATTACTTTTTTATGATTTACAGATACTCAAGAGTGGTCATCTATTGGCATTTACTGGGCAGATATACAAAGGTTAGTGCATCAGTTGGTACAGGAATACTTAAGCCTTTGATTTCATTAGTTCTTGGTATGAATAGGATGTGTGTGAGAAACTTCTGTAGTTGATTGCTTATGAATGAGCATTATACAAGTGGGGGAAAACAGATTTCGAGTGTTATATTTGAATGTAGTTTGGAAGTGTTGTGTTTGAATGTAGTTTGGAAGTGCTTTGATTGAGTTAATATAAGTTGTAGGAATTTATATTTGTGTTCAAGGGCTTTATTTGTTTTAACACAATAGGCTATGAATTTCAATATAAGCATTATTTATATTTATATATATACTAAATTTAAACCACATATTTTTAACATATATGTTTAATTTGGAAGGTCGACAGTGTTTTGTGATGTTTTCATATCGGGAGGGATTGCCTGGCCCCAGTAACGATTGTCTACTGCATCTTCAATCTACACACCGTTCTGAGCATATTTGGAATGGTGAATTAACTGATCATAAGTTTAGTCTTGTTTGTCCGGAAAGATATTGGACTAGTATATCTACATTATGTCATCCTAGGGTCCTCGAGATATTAAATCGTATTGGATTTTATGGAGTATATAGAGTTGGACATGTTAGACATGATCCTGGTCTTTTGACAGCATTAGTTGAGCGATGGCGTCCTGAAACACACACATTTCATTTCACATTTGGCGAGGCAACAATTACATTAGAAGATGTTGCTATGATATATCAGTTACCCCTCGATGGTAAACCTGTTGTCAGTGATGCCACATCTCGACAAACCATAGAGCACTCTTCAAAGATTTGTATGGATTTGTTACAATTGTCTCTTGACCCAGAATATTTCAAGCATGGACCATGGATTTTGCACTCTACTTTAGAAGATCATTTGAAGAGTGCTGAGTTTCAAATCGATGATGATAGTCCCGAAGAAAAAGTAGAGTGTTGGGCACGTGGATTTATGCTATTGATGATTATGGGTAGTATACTTCCGAATTCAGATGGTAGTAGGGTCCGGTTGATTTACTTGTCATATCTGCAGAAACTTGACCTTTCTAATAAGTATAGTTGGGGAAGTGCTTGCCTTGCATGTCTATATCATAATCTCTGTTTAGCAGTTATTGGAGTAAAAAGAAAAAAGCTTAGTGGCCCCCTCACATTGTTGCAGGTATATTTATATAAATTGACATCTTAAATTTATTTAAGAACACTATTTTTGTTGTTTAAGTATTTTATTTTATTTTCTAGATTTGGGCATGGTCTCGATTACATATGTTGGCTCCTCGAATTAAATCAATAAACTCTATTGTTCTCGATCCTCAAATGCTTGCTAATGGTGTAATGCTTCCTGCTGCGCCTTACGGAGCTAGGTATTGTGATTTATACAAGTAGTTCTTAACAAAAATATTTTGTATTTTTAATTCTCAAACTGTATTTTGTTATTGTAGGTGGGCTCGGGGTAAACATGATTTTACTCCAACTGTTCATGGTTGTGTGGCTGCTATACGTGACATACTTGATCATGAAGGAAATGGACAGGTATTTTAATAACTTATTATTAATTATATAACTTTTATGTTATAATTTTTTAATATAAATATATTATATTTTTGGTGCAGTTTAATTGGCGTCCTTACGAGCCCAATTTATACGATAGTTTACCACGTTCTTGTCCTTCAACTTTATTCCGTTACCAAGGACCTTTGTTATATGAGCGATGTATTGAACATCATTTCATAGATAGAGTGCTTCGGCAACTGGGCTTAGTTCAACATATTCCAGATAACCCATTAGTGGTGGAGAATAGGAATACTCATAGTTCTTCTCAGGGATCCGACACAAAGAATTGGTTGAAAACTTATAAGATATATATTCAACAATGGAATCAACCTAATTTAGTGAATGGGCAGTCGGCCTTGCATGATATACCGCATACTCCAGAATATTTGCAATGGTTTAGAACACATTCGAGACGGTTTATCAACAATCCAGAGTTGCGTACACGGGCCGGTTATCCGACTGGACTACCATCTTACAATCATTTTGCGGTATTTTAGTTCTCTTATTCCTTATATATTTAATTACATCCTAATTATTTATTCATTGTGCACATGATATTTGGTGTAGGTGAACCAATTAAGGCGTTGTACACAGGTAGGAGACCTCAATCTTGTACAAAATGTCATTGATGTTGCAGATGATCGAGCTAATTGGATAGTTGAGTCGTACGAATCTACTTTCGTACATGGTGATCAGTCTCAACTAAGTCCGGAGTTGTATATTCCTGTTGATTCTATTGATGTACATGAGATTAGTGGTATACGTGAAAGTTCACCGTCATTGGCCTTAGGAGCGGATAATATGCAATCACATGAAGATGAGGTCTTTCATAACTCTCCCATTGGTACGAATATTGGTGAAAAGTTTTCCATTCTGTACGTCAATCATCCCAGCCTGAAACTCAACGAATGAAATATAACAGAACATGCAGGTCAGTAAGCCATAGAAACTTAAATGTACCAACAATATATGTAAGCTAATAAAATGATTGGCTACAAATCAGAAACTCTTCTATGCGGCCGAAGCAGCTCATGTAGCCTTTTGCATGTGATCGTTTGGGCATACCTTCGAAAGACAACCGACCTTCAAGGAACCAAGTATTACATTATTATTTACAGTTAACTATGCAAATTATAAACCAATGAGACTTTGTAATATAAAGTTCTCGAATACCTTCATGTTTGTTTTTGCTTCAATAAAATTCGGCATTGACTCCTTATGTTGCAATAAAATCACTTGCATCCTACCTGTTTCAATATGTACGTATTAAACATATACAAAATATTCTAACTATCTTAGATTAAACTTTTTTCAAATGAGAAAATATCCATTAAAAATAAATAAACAATAATAAGTGAATTTATTGTAAATCAGTACATGCATTTACATAAAATAATAATAAAAAAATAATTAAGTTATAATAATAATTTTAATAACTTAAATGTGATTTCTACAATAAAAAATGTAATAAAAAAATTATATAAACAATACAGTTAAGCATTTATTATTTTTATTATTCAAAATTTTAGCCCAACTTCTAAAGGAAAAATCGACTAATTTCATGGGACGACTAAAAAAGGAAAAATCGACTAATTTCGTGGGACGGAGGGAGTATTACTTATGATTTAAAAAAAAAAACATGAATATATTTTTACCTTAATTTGCATGTGCTTGTCGCCTTGCTTGTTTCTGGCCACGGTCCATTTCATTCCGAATACGTGTGGTGCGATCACGTCCTCTTCTCTTAATTTTACGTCGCAAAGGATTATGCACCAATTTAAATGAGGCTGGTTCCCAAAGTGACTTATCCGGATATGCATGGAAAGGGACGATGTATGTGCTTATCCATGAATCAATCGAATAATAGTCACGCACATATCGCTTTCCATTCAAATGGAACATACGACATGTCTCTAAAACATGTGAGCATGGCACCCCATCTAACGCCCATCCACCACATAAGCAAAAATCTCTCTTGATTGAAACAATATGTTCCTTTGATCTCTGGCCAATACTGTCTAGTGTAAACACTTTTGCCTCATATTCATCCTTATTTATCACCACACCCATATTTTTTCGGCTCTTCCGCTCCGAGTCTATATATCTTGTTCTTGCCCAAGGTGACCATTCATAGCCGCTACTTTTTGTGTAAACATCCCATCTACGATTGAGAGTGCCATATGTATCTTGTTGAAACTCCTCCTCAGGCAACTTCTGAAAATATTCAATCGATTGATATTCATTTTGACTACCTGAATGTAGAATTGTACCTGATTTAGGAGATCCCGATGGCCCTGACTCTTTCCATAATGCAGTAGCATCCACAACCCCTTTTTCACAGTTTTCATATATCTCCATTTCATCATCTGAGCATGAAATTGATTCTGATTCACTAGATTTATCTTCTCCAACTCCTTGACAATCTGCATCTAATATGTGCATACCATCGTCTGTTTGCTCAAGCCTCATGTTGGGATTCACATATGCTATCTCTACAACCGCACTTGTTTCATTCAGTTGAAATTCAACAAACAACTCCAAACATTGATAACTATTTTCTGGATTTAGAAAGTGCTGCAAATTGAAGCCATTCATAGTAATAACCCTCATTCTCTGATTATCTTGTCCATTCGTCCAACTATAAGGCATTTTCAAAATCAGAGAATATTGCATCCGGCTTTTTCCAGACAAATTGTAAATCAAACTTTCTAAATCTTCAAATGTACTATCTCGCCGAACAGCTGTCATACACTGTGGATCACAATCATATTCTATTATATCCGACTTTCGTATAATATTACCATCCCAATATAGCAGAATATCAATATTGCTCTGGCCACTACTCGTCATCTGTTTCTGTAAAAATATATATATTAAATAAATACTAATAAGATTAAAATTAATATATTATAAAAATAAGCCATCTATAAAAATATTAAAATAAGAAATAGACAAATACATTATGCATTTAAATAATATATCAATATAAATCTTACAAATAATACCAAAAAACACCTAAGATGTTATAAAATTACAAACAAAAACACAACAATCACTAAACAATAAATACCTGAAAATACAATGCAAAACAGAGAATATTGTCTACCAACAATATAAAACAAAATATAATATGAAAACTATAAAATAATTTAGTCAAACAAATAATACCTGAAAATGTCTCTCTTGAGCAAAAATTTTGCTTCTGGAATGAACAAGAACGAACTTAAGCTTTCTAAGAATGCAATGCAACAAAATCGTGGGCTAAATTAAGATTAAAAATATAGAAGTTCTCAAAACTCCTATAATATAAAATATAAGAGTTTTTATAACTACTTTTCATAATAAAAGTTTTTAAAACTCTTACATTATCAATTATAGTAGTTTTGAGAACTTCTATAATTTCCCTATACTAATGGCACCGTCACAAACAGGACGAGGTAGTTGAGAGAGAAAGTAGGAGTTCTTGAAACTACTATTATTTATGTTTTAGATGTTTTGAAAAAATATATAATTTTAGATCCAAAGAGTTTTGAAAACTACTACATTATATAAATATAGTAGTTTTCAAAACTCGTTTGAGGGCTAGAATTTTAAAAACCAGTTTGACTTAGGCCATTTTTTTAAAAAGCCCAAATATATTGACACAAAGGGTGTGTTCGTTTTGTATTTTGGATGAATTTGTCTGTCTTTTTTTTTTTTTTTTTTTTTTTTTTTAGGTATAAAAAATCGTATTGATAATATATAAAATGTTAAAATGTATATATTG